CCAAAAAGTAATATGGTGAATGGTATCTGAATTTCAATGAGAAAATAACATTTCTAGAAAGTTCATTATCTGCCCTTTCATATGACACCTCAATCAGGAAAAATGAGCCAGGAATAACAAAAATTGTCTGTTTGTTAAAAGTAATGCTTGCATTCCCATAATTGTAATAAACAAATTCGCTTTCACTGGCTGCCTGCCATAGCAACAAACAGAATTGACAAAAGACTTAACACTATTTCGTTGACGATAAGCCATAGACAAAAGACTTCATGCATGGCTGCTCTCACTCATGAAATATTAACTGTTACTGGCATTGTTCGTTTCTTTACGGGAACGGCTAAAATTACGACTCTAATTTCGACCAATCAGATGGCTAGATTTGTAAAGAGAGGTATGTTGCATAATGACTGGCTATTGTACAAGCAGAGCCTTGAACCAACATCCATCCTGTTACTCTGGCATCTCAAAAAGGGATTTCTCTGAGCAGTTCTATTTATGTCTTTGTCCCTCTTTTGAATAATTGGCAGAGCTTTGTCTGACCATGCAGCAGTTTATGCATGTCAAACGTGCTTAACAAGAGAAAGTGCTGAGCCAAATATCTTAGACGGTATGTTAGGAGAGAATATCCATTCATTTAAATACGTTACCCAAATGATATCAATAGGAAACCAATGTTATGATTGCATTTCACAGGTGACTGTTCTATATTGCAGATAAAATACAGGTCAGTGGATACATCACTAGTTGTATCCTTCAGTACCTAAATGTGCTAAAAGAAGAAAAGTCAAAGTAGTAGAAAAGGGGAGAGATGAGAGCCGACTCACCCAAGTACTTTATCCTCGCCATATATTAGCATTTACAAACAGTGTGTGGTGTCATAGAGCCCGTCAGCAGACAAATATACCATTTGAATACTCAAACACTCTTTGTTGTGTAATAGATGAGATGGACAATAACTTGAGGCAATGTTTGACATAACTGGATAGAGTCCCTTATACGACTGAAGTTCACTGACACTCACTATGTCAGTGTATCAGAGCTCGTGGAACAAGTCACCTAAGTTTAGTGTTCCTAAATACAAATAGCATTGTAAAATTTCAGGTAGTGCTATAAATGTATCAGAACTTTCACAATTTTGTAAAAATATGTGGGGGTTCTAATTGGATGTATTTGATTGAACTTGAAGAGGACAAAGTCAACTCCACTAAACATGTGACATATATACATGAAATTAGTAACCATCAAATTCACCAACTACTACCTCTTAAGCCATGCATGGTCTCCTCATCATTTTGAGTTACCTTAATTCCACCAAGTAGGTCTATGACTCCACACACACCACTTTTATGTCATTTCTGAGAAATACTGGGTGAGTTATTAGACAAATGATAATATAGACTTGTTTCAGGTTCCCATTTGCTATTCCTGGGTACAGGATTAGCTTTAAGTCTTTTATGATCGCTAGGCTCTGCATTCCCTCATATGGTAAAGTCATTATCTTTGTATCTCCGAGAGACTAGGGGTAATTTTTGTATTAGACTTGGAGGTTTGCTCTGGTGTAAGCGAAATTTTACTTTTTGCACCTGGAAACTAATTTCGCTGCATAGGGCAGTATGTAAATAATAACAAAAGAATCAAGGCATTGATTTGTCAACTTTTTAGTTCAATCCTCACAATGGTATTCAAAAAACAAAACTTATTAACTTTGAATTGAGGGGGGTTAGAACATGGATTTAATCTATGGTGAAAATTAACACTGAAAATATCCTCCAAAATTGTAATTTCATGATATCTGCATAATTTTTCCTAATGAAATTATAGTTGAGGGTCTATTCAATTTCTTCGCTAAGTTTGTACTTCCTCTAGTTTGCTCCCTCCCTCACTCTCTCTCTCTCCCTCCCTCCCCCCCCCCCTTTCTCTCTCTCTTTCTCTCTCTCTCTCCCTCCCTCCCCCCCCCCCTTTCTCTCTCTCTCTCTCTCTCTCTGTCTCTTTCTCTCTCTCTCTCTCTCTCATTGTGGGCTGTAATTTTCTCTTGACATCCCCCTTTTTTTCTCTCTCTCTAACCCTCTCGTATGCTCTAAATCTTCTCAGCATCACTTTTTGAGCTCGTGCAACAGCTTCCTTTCTGCCCTCTTCTCCTCCTGCTGCAAACCATGCTCGCTTGCATGATCCTCATGGGACCATCTGCAAGCACAAATCATTTATAGGCTTTCTTATCCAACTCCCATTCCCTTCTCAGTTCCACTTCAGTTACCTCAGCCGCTGGGACACAAACATGAGAAGCTGATCATTGAATTTATTTCATCAATACAAAGTTTTTATTTCATCAGCTTTTCTGAGCAAATAGTAAGCTTGGGTGGATATTAGGTTTCATGGAGTGCACAGCATTAAATTGTGATGTATATAGACCAATGGGAGTATTGATGATGGCCAGTTTGGATTAATAGAGAGTCAGTCATCTACTTCCTTATGTGTATATGATTCAGCTAAATCAAATTGTTATAGTAGGCAGCCATTCCCTCATGAACCATTGAGAGATGGAACAAGAAGAAATGTGTTTCTTATATGCTTACTGCTGCAGAGTGAAACTTATGTGAAGCATATGGAGATGTTGAAGTGGTAAAGAATAGATTTTTCTTATTTTCAATTTTCTATCACAGTCCCCTAAATTCTACATTTTTTGATAGATCAAAGTTTCTGCTGTTTGCTGCACAGAAGATTCTTACCTATATGTTCTCTTAGAGCCTGTAAGCTAATTGGAAGGGGAACAAATCCTCAAATTTGGTCTGGAACTAACTAGGTGCACAAAAATATACATATATATATATATATATATATATATATATATATGTGTGTGTCTGAAATTGAAAATTTATATAAGAATAAGGAAGTTCTTTCAAGTCATTGCCACTTCATTGACAATTCATGAAAATTAACAATTAGGTATGTTAAAGGCATTGTTTAACAATGTATCCATTTCTATAAATCTGAGATGCATGGCTCTACTTGTTATCAGTGTCTGTGATATGGTGTAATATTGAAGCCCTAAATAAATTGTACTTCAAAATGATCATGAAGTGCTTCAAAAAAGTTTTAAAAAATGAGTGACTGGTTTTACCATATTCATTTTCCCCAATAGACTGTTGTTATAAAAACCGTTGGGAAAACTGTTTTTGAAATTTCGAATTTGAAATATAAATATCTTGATAATCAGACAGGCGATTGGCTTGTAAAAGTCATAGGACTCCTGACTGACCTAAAGGTTTATAATTATAATTGCAGCATGAGCTAAATCCAGGATTTAGCTTAGAATCTGAGGCAAAGATGCCCAATCCCTTTAATTCACTGCTGTAGGTGTAGTTACAATACTGAAAAAGATGCTGTATCATAAATAAGTTTTTTAATTCAAAATTTTGTGTACTCGCATGAAAGTAAAATGAACAGGATGAAATCAAACTAGATTTGTAATAGACACACACAGATAACCATGTATACCAATTCTATTAGTGGCATCTCTATGGGTATCGGAAACAATTATCAATTGGATTTATGAATCAAATGGATACGGAAAGGTGATCATGATAACATTTCATGCTGTAACATAATGCCAATATTGTGTATTTGGATTTTGAAAGTGGAAGAAAAGTGAGAATACGCAGAAGAAAATTGACAAGTACTAAGATGTACGTGTACCTTCATTAGAGGGTTTTTTGTTGTTTATTTTTTTTTTTTTTTTTTTTTTTTTATTTGTTCCATCGTACCAAACATCTTCATTTGTCTTTCAGGTAATGCCCATTTGAAAAAGGGCAAATGATCATGTGTTTTTATTTTAATCTAGGTTTGAAAATAAATTCTACTCTTCTTGATAGATGATATCACCTTTAAGTGTACTGCTGTTCTCATATAGCATGTCAGGTAATCTCATCTTATTGCCATGTCATGATCCACAATATGGCATTATCTTTAAGCATCATCCACTTAATTACCTTATTTTGTCTGTTGCTGTCCTGAAAGTCAGTGTAGCCAATCTCTAGTCATTTGTTTTCATTAATGTCTCATTATATCGGGTCCTTGAGAAGTCGCCATCAAGTTGAATTAGGACGCTTTGGAGTTCCATCTAGGTTTATTGCCAAGCACATGATAAAGTTCATGCGGGGCAGGGTTATTGTAATATACTCTGCAAGATAATCAGGGATGAAATGTTCAATAATAAACAGTATGAGCTTGATGATTTAATTACATACTTAAATCAGGAAGAAGTAAATGACTTGTACAGTAACATCACACATTGAATAGCAACAAAACCAATATACATGCACTATGTGGCAAGGTATTTAACAGTTCGGTTGCTTTCTTTGCCCCTCGTTTTCCACATGTGCAATTTTGCGCAAAACCTGAACCTCCAATTGGTGTAAGAATTGCTTTGAGCAGCACAAAGGCTTTGCAATATTACCAATTTCCGGTCTTTATTGCCTCCATGATAACCTCCTCACTAGTGTACTTTAATCTTGTTCTGGAAACCCTTAAATAATCTTGAAGCATGATAGATACAGTATGGCACAGGGAGAATATTTGTGGACAATATAAAGAGTTAAAGTCCATTTATTGCGTAATTTCTGTTCCTTTTTTTTTAAATTTCTCTTTCATGATCATTAGTATGGATCAAATTTGATGAAACTTTTTCTTTTGTTTTGCTAATAGGGTGATATACATGTAACTGTCATTCCATATATGTGATGTAAAATTTTGACAAATAAGTTTATGTGAATTTTTTTTTTTTGAGGGGGGGTCTTTATTTTGTTTTGTATGTTGATAATAAATGAAATAAAATAATAAATGCCAAACTTCCAGTAATTTGTTTTGAAGTGACCATTAGCTTTGAACTTTCATCCAGGAAAAAATGTTATTTCTTCAACAATTAGATTTTTTTTTTTTCCACCAAGCATTCATTAATGGGGAATTGTTTTCATTATTTTTTGCTGTTTTTTCTTTTTTTACAGATGTGACACTAATCGGTACACACTTCAATACCTCCAGACTTTGGCTAAAGTCCAATCTAGGAAGAGAAAGTTGATGCCTCTTGGATCAGAAGATGACAAGGATTCTGAGGAGGAAGAGATAATGAGTTTGAGAGAAGTAGAAGACATTGACAGTGATGATTCTGATACACAGATTACACCACTCATCAATTAACATGATTAAGCATCATTAAGTAGTTGAATCATTTGATTGGGTATACCAAGGTTTGATCCTGACATGCCACATATACCTTTATGTCATGTGCTTCTCTCCACCAATGTAGCATGCAAGTGTCAATCTAGCTGGAATTGTTACTATTATTATTATTATTATTATTATTATAATTATTGCTATTGTAATTATGACTTTTATTGTTATTATTACAATTGTTATTTTTATCGGTATTATTGATATTAGTGAATAGTTTTGTTTTTTTCATTGTTATTATTGTCATTATAAATTTATTTAATATTGTTTTAATCATTTTATTTCAATGATAATGACATTTTGACTGGATGTTACACAGATTATGATTCCAAGACATTACCGTACTCTAGAATTGAAAAGTTTGGTGGATATACCATTAGGTTCAACAAGCTTGTCTTGTGCAAAGTGTGTAGGGCAGAGGAATGATGTCATACACTCCATGGCAGCTCTATATACCTTTCAATACTAGGATTATTGTACTCTTCAAAACAATGTTCTTTACTGACGAAAGTTGTTTTTTGTGGTTTAGTGTGATATCTCTGTGCCTATGCCTTTATATCATTTGCACAATCATCTTATAGTATGAAATTTGTACTCTGTATTATACATTATCATATTTTGAAATGCCTAATTTTAGATCTACATGAACGTGTGTATGTTTATGGCATTTTTTGTTTACATTAATTTGGAGCGTACATGTATTTCTAATTGGTCCCAAACCTGTTTGTTTAACATCATGTTTGATTTGAATGGATCACTAGGACAGACCAAGGTAAACTCATTGTCTATGCAACAAACATGGAAGTGGCCACTGTAGGCAAGTGAATTTAGATTTAAAATTTTATGTTATTATTATTTTTGTTAATACCTTTTTGTCTAAGGTACAATAGAAATAATACTGTGCTGGAAATCACATTCGCTGAAGAGCGAAATGACTAGCTTGATTTTCTCGTTATTTAAATATTACACCTTTTTTCTACCAAAACCATTAAGGTGGTATTTTTCTTTTAATTCAATTCAATTCAATTTTATTTCATTCAGTTTTAAAAAAAAACATTTCATATAACAACCAGCTATATAACATAAAATACACATTACGAACATATTTGACATTTGGACATAAAATAAACTGAATAGGTTGCAACCTGAAAGGAAAAAAGTAATCCTTATATAAAGGTTGACCCTTTTTTTATAATAAACAAATATGAAATATATCCGTTACTAAACATTATACTTTACTCAAATCAAGACAACAAACATACATACAACAAACAAATAAAATATGTCTTGAACTTAAATGATTATTGCAGTTTATCTAAAAGAAATTTCTTATACCTACGTTTAAAAACATTTACACTAACAGAATTATGAATATAATGGGGAAGAGTGTTCCATAAAAAGGGTCCTTGGAAAATAATTATTTTTTGGTTTAGTACTGTACGAGTCAATGGCAAGTGAAATTGTTTAGCATTTCTAGTATTATAACTATGAACATTACGGTTTAAAATAAACAATTTGGAAATAGAATCAGGGATAAGATTGTGGTGACATAAATACATAAAAACACCTACTTGTAATAAATATACATCCCTATATTGCAACATGTTTAATGAGTAAAATATTGGATTGGTATGGGCAAGAAAAGAAGAATGATTAATAATTCTTATTGCACGTTTTTGTAATTTAAACAGTCTATCTTGATAAATTAATGCAGCATTGCCCCATACAATAATAGCATAATGTAAGTAAGGGTACACAATTGCATAGTATATCATTTTGAGTATAATTTTAGGGAGAGATTTCAATCTGTACATGACACCAATACTTTTAGATAATTTGTTGCAGATGACACCAATATGATTAGACCAGGAGAACTTATCATCGATAATAACACCCAAAAACTTTGCTGAAGAAACTCTCTGAATGTTTGCTTTACCTAGTTTGATTGTTATTGAGTCTTTATTTAGTTTCTTTTTGGTAAAAATCATAAAATTGGTTTTCTTTTCATTAATGGAAAGTTTATTAGCGTAAAACCATTGAACAATTAATCCAATCTCAATATTAAATGTAGTTTCAAGAGTATGTTTGTTTTTGTGTGAAAGGAAAATACTGGTGTCATCTGCAAACAGAATACATTTTAAAATTTTTGAAGCATTGACAATATCATTTATATACAAAATAAATAAAAGTGGTCCAAGAATGGAACCTTGTGGCACTCCACATCTAATTAGCTGTAACTGTGATTTGTTTTTATTTAATGCAACAAATTGTTTTCGATTTGATAAATAATTTTTAAATATTTTCAATGTTATACCCCTAATTCCATACATATACAATTTATCCAACAAAATGCTATGGTCAAGCGTGTCAAACGCTTTAGTGAGATCAAGAAATAAGCCAATTGTTGTTTCTTCATTATCTATTGCACTTCCCACTTTATGAACAAAATCTATCAAAGCTGAAGATGTTGAGTGTCCTGCTCTAAATCCATACTGGTTATTGTTTATAATATTGCACTTTGTAATAAAATGTAAAAGTCTGGTATAAATACACCTTTCAAAAATTTTGGAAAAAACAGGTAAAACAGATATTGGACGATAATTAGACATCACTTCTGGTGGACCACTTTTAAAAATGGGTATTACACGAGCTATCTTTAACGATGTAGGAAATTCTCCACATTTAAGGCATTGGTTGAATATTTCACTGAGATGTGCACTTATCTTATGTATAATCGGTTTTACTACTTTAATATCTATTTCATCATAACCTGTACTAGAATTAGGCTTAAGTTTGTCTACAATATCTATAATTTCCTTACTAGTAATAGGTTTAAAAAATGCGGTTTGATCATTTTGAATTACATAATTTTTAAAATTATTATTACACGAAGAAAAAGAAAGGTTCAAGTTATGACCGATGTTTACAAAATGTTCATTCAATATATTACAAATTTCCATATCAGTTGTAATATTTTTTTCATTACATTGAATACATTTAATAACAGATTTTTTATTCTGCTTACCAAGAGCCTGATTGATAACGCTCCATGTTTTTTTCATATTCCCTTTATTATTCCGAAATTTGTTTCCATAATACGCTCTTTTCGTACTTTTTATCATATTCGTTACTTTATTACGACATTTTTTATAAACATTCTTTCTATATACAGTGGGATTTTTCAAATATAGCTTATAATATCTGTTTTTCTTTGTACTCAATTTCCGAATATCGCTTGTAAACCAAGGTTTGTCCATACGCTTTTTTTTATAAGATATAAATTCAATAGGAAACAAATGTTATATGCATCCATGAATTGTCTAAAGAAATCATCATAACTCTTATCAGTATTATTTTCACTGAGATTCCATCGTTGTAATTCCAACAAATAAGCAAATCTACTAATATTATTATCATGTATTTCTCTTCTTTCATAAATTATTTTATCTAAAGTATTTACTTCATTTTCGCACAAACAGTAAACTTTTTGAATATGTATTTACAGTTTTAGTTACAATTAGCAAATTAATTTCTGTTTTCACCTGACCAGAACTCAAAATCATATTATGATTATCATATTAACATAGTACATTTAGTTTCAAACACTTTCCCTATCTTACAAGGTTAAATATTTCGACATTTCACAAAGTATGTTTTTCATGAAAATACAGATATGTATAAACCAAATGTTAAAGTACAATATAGGAGAGTACTTTTAATACAGCAGTGCTGTGTGCAATGTGCCTCTCAAGAATAGTGCATATAATTATGTCTGGTTAAATTCAAGTTCAATAGCATCCTAATCATAATGGAAGTACAATCAACCCACTATTTTTGTAATGAATTATGAGTAAAAAAAAATGATAATAATAATGATGTAAAATTTGCTATTTCTAACATATTGAGAACAGTTTGCCATTCCAGTTCGAAGCATTTGCTTACCATTTTGTGTATTTCCTGTGTTAGTCAAACAGTTTTCTCCAAAGGTATCACATTACACTTTAGTGTGTTATGATCCCAATAACTAAATCAGTTGACTTGACAAGAATATGTATGTAGAGTTAACGGGTAAGGGAAAGCCATGTTCATTAATTATCAATCGTTATCAATCATCATTTTTTTCTTCTTCATGGGGTGGGGGGGGGGAGGTGGGGATCATTTCATTTGTTTATTTCTTTCAAAAAACTCCTCCACATCATTGTGAGTGGGTGGTAAATCACTGAAAAGACATAACACATCGCATCAATGAAACAGATGTTATTTATTGTTAATAAAGACTGTCATGATAACTAGAAATCTTTAATTGATCTGCTGTTGACTTGTCTGTTAATTTGTCTTCTCCAACTCTCATTAAGTTTAAGTTAGTCATTGACAGAATTTTCATGACAGATAGCCTTCAATGAAACCTTCTAATCATTCTACATGTAGGCACTCCAAATGAGGCACTCATTGGTTTATCGAGACAACGCATTCAAGATTTTAATTTACCACACATAGCTATTCCATTTTTAAAAAGATATCAATGAGAGTGGTAAACATGTATAACAAAATACAGAGTTAATCTTCTTCATTTTTTTTTTTAAGGAGGGGGCTGTTGGACAAAACTTGAATTGCAGAGCTTTGTATCAAGGAACTCTTTGATGTGGTATTGAGAGAAATCGAGAGTCCGGGGAAAAGGCATTCAGAGGGGGAATTATAAAAGACAGTAATTGAACTGAATTGAAACAGCTATACTATAAAATGGCCCGAGTTTTTATCTTTATACGTTTGTGATGAGAAGAGAATGGAAGTGAAGAGTGCTGTCACTTGAGATATGAGAAGAGGAGCAGGGATAAGTGAAGTGAACAGATATTGACATTAGCTCACATTAATTTGTTTGTGCCTGGTTTTCAATTTAATGTTCCTTGAAATGAAAGAAGAAGATGGATAGCCTCAATCATCAGATTACAATTTACAGGCCTCTCAAATTGAGAAGTAATGAAGAAACCGGTCTCCCATCTTAATTGACAAGAATACATGTACATGTTATTAGTAAGAGCCAGTGTTATTTTAGTTTCTTTGTAAACATGGATTAGAAAAAAAATAGGACAGAAGTCGTTTTTTCGACTTGTGAGCAAGTAGAATATTCTGTAGATCTGAGTTTAGCAAATCTTGATATTAC